AAAAGAATTGCATGAAGAAAGGCTTCTGATCTAATTCTGGTTAAACTCCATAGCTATATTATACAAATAATAATACATTTGATATTACAGATTGAACTGTATATTATCTTAATCAATTCTATTCGACCTTATATGTTAAGAGGAAGAAGAACAACTCTGAAAAGATCATTGATATAATTGCTAATATATAGAAGTGTTATAGTCAAGAAACACTATTTGTACTATATAGAAATTGTATCCTGCTTGATATTTATATTCTTATATTTGATAATTTAAGCCAACTGAATTTTTTTGAAGTGTTTATTAGAAAATATTGGAGTCACATCCTACTTGACCATCTGATCTCTAGATTTGATAGTTTATATTAATCAAGGACTATAGTTTTTGAAGCATTTACTAGGAAATATATAGATGTATTCTATTATTTATTGATCTTATACTTGATAAAAGATAGTTGAAGATGCAATGTAAAAAGATGATTTACAGAATACTAACATGAATTTCATTTCAAAAATACTTATTGTTTTCTCTAAAAATAGTTAAATTAATAGGTTAGGTAATTTACTAGTGATAGGATTTCCATACCTTAGATAAATTTCTCCCAAAAATATAAATTTATTTTAAAAATGTTATTAATATTGCTAGATAATAAAAAATAAAATAGATTAGTATTTAACTGTAGTTTAGTATTACAGATAATGTTTATGTAATTGTAATATTATCTATATATCAATAAACAATTGATATCTAATATGTATTCTACTATAAAAAAAAATATAATTAATTATATTTTTTACAATAAGTTAAAATTCTTTGAATTGTTATTATTTTATATTGATAAGGAATTATTGTTATTATTTGTTACAAGTTTGCTTAGCAAGTTATAGATCTGAAAATAATTATAATTATCATTATTTATTGAAAAATAATAGCTTAATACTTTTATTAGAATAATTATTTATTCTATTGAATAATACAATACAAAAAATTCTAACTTATTATAAAAAATATTATTATTTTTATTATATAAGAGTTGTTATTATAGACCTGTGGGTCTATAGCACAGTGGGTAGTGTTCCCAGGTTGTTAAACGCATGTCCCTAATTCAATACCTACAGGGGACAAATGTACAAAAATTTATCCTTCATTTGTGGGTTTACTGGTTTTCCCACAAATGTCATATTCAAACATCCGGATCTTGTTCAAATTTAGTTAGGCTGCATGAAAATGGGACCTCTGGTCTTTCTGATGATCATGGGCTGAAAACAGGTTAAAGCAGGAAAGGTTGCATAAGGAAAGGCTTCTGGTCTAACTCCGATAATAAGCCCACATCCCCCCTGGCATGGCAGACTTCGTAGCACATAAACCTTCTTAATCAGGATGGCTGGCTTCCTGAATAAGTCGTACCCAATCAGCTAGTACCCCAAAACTGGTACAGCAGACTCCGTAGCACAAAAAGTGTATTGATCTGACTAGGCAACTTTGAAGAAAGCACTGTACAGACAGGAACATGTGGAGATAGCTCATGGCCATTCTATAGGAGTTATGCCCTGCTTGGCATTTATGCCCCTAGATTTGGCAGCTTAAGCCAACTAAGAGCCTATGGAGTGTCTACTAAGAGATTTAGGAATTGCGCTCCACTTGACCAATTGAGTCCCCAGGCTTGGCAGCATGTGCCAACTATAGGAATAACTCTCAAAGCATTTACTAGGAAGTATAGAAAAGTAAGACCGTGGGTGCCATGGATGCTTGAGCTCGAGGTGTAAAGTGATAAGGAACCTTGCGATGGTTAACATGCTTACCATTATCGTCCCCCCAAATTGGAAATTCAAGGTTAAGGTGATTTAAAACTGGCGATAGGATTTTTCCTCCCTTGAAGTTTCCCACCTAACATACAGACCCACCTCCGTAGTGTAAGTAAGTATAGTTGGGTTATAATAGGCGGTGCTAGAATTAGATTAGCTAAAATAGTTAGTCAGATCTTTCATATAATGATAAATTAATTCTAAGTAATTAATAAAATTCTCGCATGTAATATGCTTTGCCTAAAAAAAAAAAAAAAAGAGTTGTTATTATAATAATTTTAATAGAACAAAACTATTGATTATTTGAAAGTATTTATTTTCAGAAATAAATAAATTATTTGAATGTTTATTTTTGGAAATAAGTTAATTATATAATTTAATCATATGATTTAATAATGGTTTTAATAAATAATTTAATAATATTATTAATTTTTTTATTTTTTAGAGATTAATTCCTGATTTTAAAGATTTATAGGATCAAAAATATTTTATATTATTATTGTTTAACTTTTAATATTATTTTATATTTATTATATAATATTGTTATGTTACAAGTTTTAGATATCAAAAATAATAATAATTAAATATAAGAAGAATTTAAAAGAAAGATATAAGGTTTGATATAGAATTCTTATAGTATAAGACTTTATTTTCAAGTAATTAGAACTTTTTAAGAATCCATTTATTAAATAAATTCTTTAATCTTTTATAAACAATTAAAATATAGACCTACCTGGTCATAGTCCAGTGGGCTAAGACAAGATAGGGCTAACCCATGACCTACGGTTCAACTCCAGCTAGGGGACAATTCACATATCCCAAAAAGAACTTTGTGTCACTGCCCCTGTAACTCGTGATAGAGAGCGATTTGGATTGTTCCAATAATCAGGGAGTCTTATGGGTAGACTACACCCCATAGGTCAAAAAGATAGATAATCTGATTGATAAACTTTCTGATCAAGTATTGCCCAGAAAATACCTCCAAAAGGGGAAAGAAGTTTCATGGGATCTTTCCGGTAGCAGAAAGAAAGGTACAAATGGCTAAAACCATTAGTCGCACAACTATCAGTAAGAGTTTCACATGTCTGATGGTAGCGAGGATCTGGTCGGAGGTGCAGGAGGTTGCTTGTATCATGGGATGTTCTATCCTAAGGGGTACACTTGCGACAGTTGACTGCATGACCCCATAAAACGTAACCCCCCACATGTGTTGCTAGGTTAGATTAGGAAGGGTGAGGCTGGGTTCGATTCCCAGGCGAATTTGGTGTATTGGTGTACCCTCATCCTGCCAATGATATCTCACTAACTAAAACCCTAATAAGTCTTGGCTAAACTAAACGGTTGAAAAACAGTAGTAGGTGACTGCTGGCTAAGCATCAAGTCCATAGGATTTGGACTTGTTTAAAATGTAGCAACTTCTCACCCCCACGTCTATACTTAGAGGCTTAGGCCTAAGACGAGTAATTGGGAACTCTTATAATGCACCCATGCACCCTGGAGAAACACCAGGAGGCATTATAAATAGAGATGCTGACGATTCCCGAGTTGACAAGTGGGAAAAAAAAAAAATAAAATAAAATAAATATATTATAAAATAAAGAATTAGACATTATAATAACTTACTTTTTTGTTAATTTTGGATCTTTTACTAGATTTCGCTGAACTTGATTCCAATTCTTCAGATTCAAATAGACGAATTAACTGAAATATAAATTTATATTTTAATATTTGTTTTTATATTAAAAATAATAATAGTATATGTTTATATAACTTTAATTACTTTGTTTGATTGACTCATTGTAAACAATATTGTTGTTTAATAGGTAATGTATAAAAAATATGAATTTAGCAACGTGAAGAAAATAGCATTAAATGAACTGTTGAAATTTGTGAAAATCGCAAAAATCAAAAAATAGCTTAATTACTTAATAATTTTTGTTAATCTTTTTTTTTTTTTTCCAAATAAAAAACGATATGTGGATTACTAAACGCTAATAGAATATGGGGATAATTAAAAGAATGATAAAGGAATTAAAAAAAAGGTAGGGTAATGTAACTATTAACTTTGCTTTTGTCTTTATAGAATCTTGGTGGTGCGGCGTGATTTGATCATGAGATAAGATTTTGTGATCAAGGGCGTGATTTCATGTCAGATCAAGATTAATATGTATGCTAACCACATCTTGTTTTCTTTTTTTTTTGTAGAGATTAGGACTCCGTTATGCGATCTTCAACGGCACCGATTTAATCGCGATGGTCAGCGAGGATCGCAAGTTCATCAATGTCTTCTCTTTTTTATAGGTCTTGATATGGCGGCGATAGGTTCTTTTGTATGCTTCTCTGTCTCCTTTCCGTCGTTGTCTACGTCGTGATGGTAATGGTGATATCTTCAATCGTCGGGGGTGTGCAATCATGATCATGATCGTGATCACGATTATGACGGCATTTAACTTCGGGGCCATCGAAATACCTAAAGGAAGTGTTCGATGGTTTTAGGGATTGCAGCGAGTGCAATAAGTCTGGCTGATGATTTGACGTTGAAGTCACTCCTATCGATTCCGCCAAGTGTTGATAATGATTGTTGTGAAGATGGAGGTATGGTAGTCGTCATCATCTTCGCGATGAGGGTGTGACGTTCATCGTTAGTCTTGATCGTGGGGATACGTCCGTTGTTGCCGTGGTTTTCTCATCTCCCCCCATACTTACTCTTCTATTTCCCAGTTGTTTGTTATTATCTCTATAGGTCTTTTCCGTTCATCCGTCCGTAGCTTCTACGGTTCGTCGAATTCGGTGTTTCTTTTGGTTGTCGTAATTAGAGGGTAATGCGACTTTCGTGATCGTCGGCACCCTGGCATGAAACTGTTTGCATAACTTGCGATCAATATTAAAAAATTAATTACGTATGCAGTTTAACCAATAATTTATTTACTGTACACAAAAACCTTTTTACAATTTCACATCTTTTTCTAACAAATCTATATAATAATTACAGAAATTTATAGGGAAGGAAAAAAAAAAAAGAAAGGATGATGCTTGACCTTCAGGACCGCTGACTTGTTCCAGGTAAGTACTTTTTTTTTTTTTATTTTGTATTTGCCATCATCATTCACCAAGATATTAGTTATTTCCAAATTACGCAGGCGACCAGTTAGGTATGTGTAAATTTCAATGAATTGGTCTATATCGCGCTCTTCAATGGCTAATAACAATGATTGGAACTATTCGAAGGAGCAGTAGTCACGGCAGATCCAGAATAAATATGTCTTGCGAAGATTGGTGGACTTTGTTGGATAGGTCACACGATACCGAATACTCTTTAGAGTACTTGCGGATAGTGTGACACTGATATCCGCACCCACTAACATCGCAACCTTAAATTTAAAGACATCTTCCGAGGCACTAAAATTGAGGCGGCTAATGCATCAGAGATTCGCTGTTATACCGGTTTGGTTAAATAAGGTTGGCGATTTTGCACCACTTTCGATTCACAAGTAAGACAGAATGTTGGGTTTTTACATTATATTTGTCTATATGAGAAATCATATTTTCGAGGACCTCAGTCAAGTTTAATGCCCTAGCTATTGAAGATTCAGACGAAAGAACTGGTGATGAAGGCGAGGATGTTGTGGCTTCTACTTCAAGTGTTCTTTAATATAGTAATACCAAGGCGCATCCATATTGTAGTTCCCATCCCGTCATTCATGCAATAATTTTTTTATAATTTAATTTAATTTTTTTTTTAGGGCGAGAGGCACATATACCACCGATCTCGTGATTATCAGTTTTTAGGCTTTGCTTTTCTTCTGTGCGAGCTATTCTGGAGCTTCTCTCGTTGGTTTGGGACTTCTTTTAGGTCAGGATGATGCTTCTTCCTCTATTCGACATATACTAGCAGCCGAATTCTTAGTGGGCATCGTCGTTGGAGCTGAATTGGCCTTTGTTTTTCCGATCGTCACGAACACAACAATTCTTTCGTCGCTCCTTGAAGATCGAACTTTCTTGGGGCAATTTCTCAGGGGTGGCAATTAAAGATCATTCCACTTTTGGAACCTGGTTATCAAATTTGTGTCTAAACAGATGAGGTGCATCTCACAATCACCACCAATTTGTCATATACAGTTTGTCTAAAAAGTTTTTGAACAAATTTTTTAATTTAATTTATATTCATAATTCA